GGGATGCTCTGAACAAAAAACAGTAGGGATCAGTGGAACCTTCCTCAGCTCCCTACGTCACTTCCCAAAATGCATCACTGCAAGAATCAGTTCCTGGGAGGAGAACTGAGTAGACTGGAAAGAAAGAAAGGAAGGAAGGAAGGAAGGAAGGAAGGAAGGAAGGAAGGAAGGAAGAGAAAGAAGGAAAGAAAGAAAGAAAGAAAGAAAGAAAGAAAGAAAGAAAGAAAGAGGTGGAGAAAGCAAGACCTTGCCTTATTCAGTGCCTTTAGTGATTCCTTTAATGTTTGTTCTCAGATTAACCATACATACTTCTCTATTTCCTCCCACTCTGACTCTTTATATTGCAGTCCAACAAATTAAACATGGTTGTGTACATACAGTACATAGGTGTATGTCTGTGATGTTTTTAAGGTCTTCGATAATAGACAGTTACAGAACATAGAATGGCAAATACAGAATTGGAATACAAAGCCAGTCAGTTATAACTGTGCTGGTTAACCACGTTTAAGAGTTGAAAAGACTGGCCTTCATTTTAGATAGACCTTCTTCCCCTGTAGAAGACAAAGCTTGCTTGCGACTGGACGTCCTATGGCTATATAGCATGGTATTAAGGAACCCTCACTTTGAATTTCTAAGGATGCATCTTAAAAGCTACTTAAAATTTTCCTAGATTGCAGTCTGTCAGAAAGATGGTCTTTTCCAAGACTAATACCATAATGTGACTTGAACATGTCATTAAGTTCCAGAAAGCTAAAACAGCCACCTGATTTAAAAGCAAAAATAGCTATGTAAAATGTAACAAAGTTTCTTTCATATTAGTCAGCATTTCCCATCTGTCCCTCTTTAAACACCTGTACACAAAAGAGCTAGGTAGATGGCACCTAGAACTAGGTGTTTCACCTTTATGCTTACTTTGGACAAAAACAAGTGACTTATTTTCTTTCACCTATACATTGGTTAGCATACTCTTGCCCCTTATTTCACATCTTTCTTTCTTCACATAGCCGCCCTTATCATTATTTAAGAAGCACTCCCTCCCTCCCTTGTCACTGTATAATATTCTGTTGTATGGCTAAACTGGTATGTTTAACGGACTGGGCAAATATTTTTCTTTGCGATAGAGGAAAATTTATATTATGTCTATAATATTGGATAATTTTAAGGTTTAAATACTTAAATTGGTGTAAGGTTTTTAAATCCATAATGATTTTGCTAAAAATCTTTCCAAAATGGGTTACCCTCTATTTACGCTTACTTAAGTAGACAATATACTTCATTGAATTCATTTTAATACTTATATGATAAGACTACATTGTCTATGTAAACATTGGATACTATCCATTTTATGCAACATTTACTTGGTCCAAAGTCCTTTTTTACTGTAGGATACAACTATCTTATCATGGTATTTTTTGAGTCCATTCTCTTTTGACCATGATGACTTGCCTTTTAGGGGTCTTGGTGGCTAGTTGCAACCCTTTTTATATATGCTGTATGTTATTTTGCTTCTATAACATATCTCATCCCTCAGAAAACTCAATTTTAGTGTTTTGTAGTTTTGCTGCTGTCCTATAAAACAAGTATTGTTGGAGCATGATTGCCTGTATTTTCTGAAGTCTACACATGCTGTGAGGTGATTGTGCCTTGTTAGCAGAAATCACTAGTGTCTGTGTCCCCAGTATGAAAACCCTGGCTGGATGTTGCAGTGATCATCATTTTTCCCCAAATGAAATTAGTTTTCTGAGTATGTTTATTTCTCTATGATAACTTTTTATCTCATCTATTTCTTGATATTTCCTATCCACTAAAAATTTAGCCTAACCTTAACCCTGATGGAGGAAGTCCCTCTGTGTATATATTTGTCCTATTGGTTGATAAATAAAGCGCTGTTGGCCAATAGGGAAGCAATATAGGTGGGACTAGGAGAGGTAGAGGAGTCTGGGAAAAGGAGTCACAGTCAGTCACCATGTAGGACACAAGAGAAGTAAGAGGTCTGGACCCTTTCTCCGGTAAGAGAAAGAAGGCCATGTGGAAATACTCAGATTAGCAGTTATGGGTTAATAATTAAGTCAGAGCTAGCCGATAAACCATAGCAAACAGCCAACAGCTTCATAATTAATATAGTGTCTCGTGTGTTATTTGGGGACTGAGACAGCAGCGGGACCCAGGCAGCTGGCTGGAAAGAGTACACATTGGGCCTTACCCTTCCTAGTCCCCTGAAAAGGTTCAATAAAAGAGTACTCCCTCCACTCCGATTGTGTTCTCCTCCCTCCCTCCTTTTCTTTGAGTATGCTGCAAAAAAGTAGGGGCAAAGGCATCCTCTGAGAGAGGATGGTAGGAACTGTCCTCTTTGGTTAGGAGAGCCCACCAGGCTACTCCTGAATACAGTCTCTGCCATGCAAACGAGGGCAGTCACAATGGGTGGACATTTGTTTAGGGGCAGAGTCTGGGTAATTGTGTGATAACAGGTCATGGCTATATCTTCAGCTGCTCAGAGTTGGTATTAATGAAGCCTGTTTTGTGTTTAGGGACTCTTTCTGGACAAACACAGACTGGAAACTTCCTGGTGAGGGCTTGTTCTGTTTTGCCCATATGTAGCTGCTGTGCTCTCCCTCCAACAGAGTATTCGGCACAATTTAAGGAAGCTGATAGGAGGTGTTTTCTTCATGATCTTCTTGGAACTGAGCAGGGCCATCGCTATCTATCATTTGTTAACTCTGCCAATGGCAGAGATTAGTAGAATGCCGCCTTAGCTGGCCCAGGAAACTTAAGGGATCTAAGAATTCCCATGGCAGAACTTAACAGATTTGTCAAAGCATCATCTGGAGATGGAAATGTTGAACCTTGTATGATGTCCACCCTGGATGAGCAAAATTATGTCTCAGGAGTGCTGGCCAGAAGAAAAAGAGAAACTACATAGTGCTCTAGCCTATGTGTCAGAGTCTAGAAACTGTGCTGAGAGTAGTAGAAGATTAAGAAAGACAGACACCTTTCTGGGTGTTGTAGGAGATGAAGAAAACTACAAGTAACACAAAGCTGGGTTCTGGTAGGCCATGCATTTGGATGGAGATGTACTAGCTGCTTGAATACTCAGTATGTTTACATCAATAAGGAAGCAGGTTAGGTAATCTTAGTGGGGGGTTTCTCTAGGTGAAATAGCCTCAGGGGAACATGATCATGTAGTTGTCTGGACCAGCAAGCTGTGGCTCCATCACATGCTGATTTTAACTAAAGGGCAACTCTTTGTCAACATCTATACTAGGACCAGGTAATGTCTTGCCATTCCTATATGAGGCATTGACATCCTTGACATGACAATGCTCATGTCATGAATGCTCACTCATACTGGAGTACACTCACTCCACACACTGTAGGGTGTTGTCCTTGTTAGTTTTGTTAATTTGATATAGCCTAGAGTCATCTGAGAGAATTGCTTAGATCAGACTGACCTGTGAGCCTTTCTTGATTGTTACTGCGGGCAGTTAACATCCCAAGACAGGTAGTCTTGGGCTGTATAAGAAAACTGGCATGAGCTTATAAGCAAGCCTGCAAGCAGTGTTCCTCTGTGGTTTCTGCTCATAGTCCTGCTGGAGATTCTGCCCTGGCTTCTCAGAGATGTGGTCTGTGACCTTTTGTAAGCCAAATAAAGCTTTTTCATAAGTTGCTTTTGGTCTTGGTGTTTGTCACAACAATAGGAATGAAACCAGAACAGGTGTAGAAAAGTGTCTGCACGGTGGGAATAGAGATTGACCCTTCTGTATAGGTTAAGAGCAGAGAGCCACTCTGTTTCAGGCTTTCAGATCCCACCAGAGAAGTGCCTTGGCCACAGATCCTGGACTGCTGATAGTTGGTTTTTGTTTTCTGTGATAAAACACCATGACCAGAAACACCTTGAAGAGGAAGTTTATTTTGGCCTTTGATTTCAGATGGATGAGTCCCTCGTGGCAGGCATGGTGGCTGGAACAGGAGCCGAGAGAGAGCTCACATCCTTAGCTGCAGGTGTGAAGCAGAGAGCAAACTACAAGTAGGACAGTGCCCTATACTCTCAAAGCCCGTCAACCGTGCTATACTTCCTCTAGCAAGACCACACCACCTATACCTGCCTGCCCAAACAGAGGCACCAAATGGGGGGACAAGGACTCAAATGCCCAAGCCTATGGAGGACATTCCTTGTTTAAACCACCAGACCAAGAAGGGAGGAGTGCTACTGAAAGGCCTGCTGAAGAGACTTGGTCCCAGGCTACAGGAATTATCTGTGTAACAGAGAAGCTTAGAATATAGCAGTTACTCTGGCCCCCAGCCTTAGTGTTGGTGGGTTGTCACCTCAAATATCTCCAGGTAGAGAAGACAGTTCCTAGAGAAGACCAAATCACTCACCTTTTTATGTGGTGGCAGGCTTGTACAGGAGCAGGTGGCCCTAGGCTTGAGTCAGGAGAAATGTAAGAGAGTTAAGGTAGTCAAGCCTTGAGTGCTTTGCTCATTAGACCAGAGTAAAGAAAGACAGCTTTTACTTCAATAGAGGAAGTGGCAGCCATGGGCTGTAGCAGAACTTTCTGGTGTCTTGGAGCTGATTAAATTGTCTTGTTAGACAGGCTTATATTGGTTGCCTTCATAGTAGGAAAAGTACTAATGCTGTTTGTTCTTAATATTTCTTTAACCTTTGTATAATTGCATGCTGTGTACCTGTAGGGCCCCCATCTTCCAGGAGATGACAGTCTGGTAATAAGACTTAAGCAAACAGATTGTATAATAAAGTTGATGCTAGGCATTGTGGGACCACAGAGAACAAACCTCTCCCAGGCTAAATGAGGGTGTGCGTTTCACATTTGGGAGCACATATCTTGAGAGGAAGGATCAGAACATGAGGGAGGACCTTAATGACCCCAATACAATTTCTTGCATCCTAAGTTCTGTGAGAGTGGGGCTGCAACATTATTTTTATGATTGGAAGCTAATTGTTTTCCCTTATCATCTTGCACATACTATATACTTACCAGACACATGGACATTCATTTTAGTAAGGACCACCAGATTGGTAGCGGATTCATACATGACTCATTTGTCCCCTGCACAATAAGCAGCATGCTGTAAAGAGAAGGGGGCTGCTTTACAGTAGTTTTGCCATTAGCCAACTACTTCTGTCACAGAGCAGATGCTCTATAGAATTGGAAACAAGAATAAAGGATATAATGTCTGTGGGTAGGGATTGCCAGGGAAACAGCTAACAACTCAATAATAAGTGTTTTCTAACTTAACTGCTAAATAGCAAAGTACTCTTACTGTTGAAACAGAAAGGTATTTTCTCTTGAGTATTGAACCTCAGATACAAGTCAAGCATTCAAGCAACTGCTGTGTAATCACTAAAAACATCTTACACAAGTAGGGAAGAATCAATCCCTTCCTACAGACACCCGTCCGTGGCTCCTGCCTGTCCTGCCTGTCCTTGTCAAGTTGATTTTGAAATTGCTAGCTGCTGTTTTTCTAAGTGGGTGAGGCCACTCAGTGCCAAGAGTCATTTCATTAAGTGTGCTTTGGAAAATGGAATATAGTAATTCAGCTTTTTCTTTAGATACACAATTCTATTTTTCTGGTTGCATCATGTTTGTCTTATGCCAACGTAGGTTTTGTATCTTGAAGTTTATACAATTTGGAGGGAGTACTTCAAGAAAAGGTATTAAAGTTAAAAATAAGGTAGGCATTTATTTAGCATAAGAAACAATTAGAACAAATAAAAAACAAATTCAAAATTCAGGGGGGAAACCTGTTAATATATCACTGTTCTTATTAAATGGAAATGGACTTAGATGCTTGGCAAAATTTATGATGAAATGATACCAGGTTGACTCTGGAATTCTGCAATAAGCAAACCCTTCCAGCAGCCACACTGCCTGCCTTTCCATTTTGTTGTCCCACACTGTTCCCGCAGGGAATGCATGGAAAAAGTAGTAGTAGTTACACGTTGTAAGCCTTTTTCCTTCCATGTTACCAGGATTTAAATCCTAGCTGGTAATGCTGACCATTGGTGAATGAATTGGAGACCCACCTTCATTCCCTGAAGCTTCCAATCCAAATTGAGCATTTCCATAATCCACCAAACTTCAGGACGAGACAGGAAAGAGGAGGCAGAATAGGAAAAAGATGAAAAACTTGATTTAGACAGATCCACTTAAGCTATAGGAAAGAAGCAAGAGAAGAGCACCCGCATCTGTACCAATGGTCTTTAGCAGTGTCCTCACCCACTGCAGATAGGTCCTGGAGTCTGATGGGTACAGTACCCTCTCAACTGTGTCTACAGATGACTAGCCCTCTAGTGGGAAACTCAGGACCATTTGTAGTTACAGTGACCGTCATTGTGAGTTCAGATAATTCTAAAAATCTGTGCAAGATGATTTGTAGTTTATAAATTTGCATTTTAGGCACCTCCTGAGACTTGAGTAAGGGTTGTAACTTTTGAGTGACCTTGATCCACTCAGCATACTCCTGTCAGTGTGACTTTGTAAAGTGTTTGGGCTTCTTTGTTGCTGGTTATCTGTTGTTTTTGTTTTGTTTTGTTTTACTTTGAGACAGGGTTTCTTTGCGTAGGCTGTTGGAACTCACTCAGTACACCAGGGTGGCCTTGAACTTAAAGAGATCCGCCTGCCTCTGCCTTCCAAGTGCTGGAATTAAAGGTATCTGCCGCCACCACCGCCTGGCTTATAAAGTGCTTTTTAAAGATGTGTTCTCCCCACAAATCTTTCTGATAATGATAGTATGACCAAAACTGTTTCTGATTCACTGCCAGTTTAAAGTACATGTCTGTTATAACTAAAATAGAAAAAAAAACCTGTAACTTCGTCACAGGTAGGTTCTTTAGTGTAAGCAGTCTTAACAGTGTCTGTCACCCATTGTACAAACAAGCCATCTTACTACTTTATGTCTTGAAGTAGTACAGTCCACAAGAAGTCCCACAGAAGAGCACCAATCACATATGCAATCAGCACGAGTTTTTATTAAAATTCCAACATGTTGGGGTGGCAAATGACAATGAGGAGAGAAGCCACTCCTGTAAAGCACGATAGGGGAATTCCAGGGAGGGGAGGTTAGGCTGGGGGCTGATGGGTGGTGGGTTTAAACCAAAGTTTACCGGTTGCTGTAGGATTGATTGGTGTCTCAGCGGTTAGGGACTTTTAAGCTGCAGGGAGGGAGAAGCTATCTTTAATTCTCTTTACCTTGTTCAAGGCTGTGGGGTGTCCTCTGATTGGTTGCCGCTGGGTTGCGGCTTTCCCAAGAACTTCTTGCTCAGTTCTGGCCAGTTCCAGTAAAGTGAAACTAAGGCCTGGTCTCTGGGAAGGTACTAGCAGGGCTTGCCATGGCCCTTGTCTGGCTCCCCGGCCCTCTCAGGAACAACATAGATCCATTTCTCACCATTTGGCAAATAAGCTCATGATTGGTGGCATCTAGACTTTGACCTCAGGTTTTTAGCGCAACCCTGCCTTTGAGAAAAACAGATCACACTGTACACTTTCCAAACTTGGGTTATTTGCTGATGTACTTTTGGTCAAAGCAGATGATATGGACAATTGCAGAGTGATCGAGAAGGAAACCGGTGGGAGCTTGACTAGTGAGGCACCAGGGGCCATTACAAGAACACTGTTATCTCCAGTTAAGATTACCAAACTGGGGAAAATGAACACAGTTCTACAAGAATGTAACAAAGTAAAACATGAAACAGTGTTCCAAAACAAAAGCAAGATTACCAAACTGTATATGGTTGGTTATCAGTCAGAACCATGGAGTTAAACTGAGTTTGATGTTATTTTAATAGTAAGTCTTTAGTTTTTCCCTTTGATGTTCACTTCACTACCCACCCCCACAAGGTGCCCCAAAATGCCATAGTCCTTCCCTGCTTTGTTCCCCTGATCCATCTGTTTTCATCTTTGGGGTAAAGTATTACTTTAGGAATCCTTCCTGTGGTATTAAGGTTTTTGTCTTTAGGTGATTGAATGGTTGGTGATCTCTTTGCCCATTGTGTCTGGTCCCAGGTTACTGACTGTTTCCATATGGCTGCATTTTCTTCATTTGGGATTCTACTTGTTACTTTTGCTGGTGTTGTCCCGCTCCTCTTCTTCCCACCATAGCTTCAGTTTACTTTTGTTCGGTTTTATGTTTTAAGTTTCCAGATTCTGTTTTGAGATTGGTGTTGAGCAAAAGTAATAGTTATTTTAAAACTTCTTTATTGAAATCACTTCAAAATTATAAAAGTTCAACCAAATATTTTATATGTTTTACTTTTCTGCTTTCTATACTTCATAGAGTAAAACTTCATTCCTAGCAATGATGGAGGTGTCAAGCAGAATTTCAGTATCAGAATAAATCATGCAATTTTTAAATTTAAATTAGAAACAGTCCAGGCGTTGGTGGTGCACACCTTTAATCCCAGCACTCAGGAGGCAGAGGCAGGTGGATCTCTGTGAGTTTGAGACCAGCCTGGTCTACAAGAGCTAATTCCAGGACAGCCTCCAAAGCCACAAAGAAACCCTGTCTCGAAACCCACCCCCAAAGGAAAGAAAAATTAGAAACAATCTTATTTTACATATCAATCCCAGTTCTCTCTCCCTTCCATCCTCCCCTGCCCCCCCACCAACGCCCCATCCCATCCACCTTCTGCTCCCCAGAGAGGGTGAGGTCTCCCATGGGGGATCTTCAAAGTCTGTCACATCATTTGGGACAGGGCCTAGGCCCTCCCCCATAAAACATGCAATTGTTAATTAAATATTTGTTTGGGAACAGAGTATGGCTAGACTGTAAGTACAGATTTGCAAATACAGTATTTCAGGTGCTGTGGGACATTACAATATTTTACGGAGTAAGAAACCAGTACAGAAAGTTAGTCTATCTTAGAGTGAGATCAGTGATGTAACAAGTAGTAGCTACACAAGAAAGTTAAGAGACAGAAGGAAGAGCCTGCAGGCAGTGAATGCAGCCTGTAAAGCCAGCCTTGGGGTATGACAGTGTTGCTGAAGGGCAGTGAGAGGTGAATCACCTCCCTTCCCTGGGTATACCTCCCCTCTCGTTGCCTCTGACACTGAGATTCTGAGTGGGCAGCATTGTTGAGTTAGTCAGTGCTGATTAGTCTGGGTGCACAAGGTCTGATGGTTCTGTCTTGGTCACCATCATTGTAGTACACTTGTCTCCTGCTTAACAGGTTCATGGCCTTTATTGGACTATTAAGAAATGGATTTCTGTTCCAAAGCACTCGTCCCTAGGATGTTTTTCATTAATATCTTCTTGATTGTGAAAGACAAGAGCAATACAGTTGATTAAGTTCAATTACTTTAAAGGAATGGTAGGAATGTTTGTACAAATTTAATTAAGCCACTGTCAATCTAATTTAAGGAATACTTAGTAGTTTATCTTATTGTCTGAAATTTTTGTGTTAATGTTTTATGTCCAAGCTGTTTTTACATATACTGTAGTCATTGTGAATTAATCCAGAAAGACATTATAAAATGCTATAATATGTCCTTTTCAACCTTTGACAGTTTAAAGTAGAAAATGGTGTGGATAAATTTATACTTATAGCAAATTTTTAAAAATATTTCTGAAAATTGCTTATTGTTGGGTTTTCCTTAGTTTTGTATAGTGTGAAACTATGTGTGGAGAATTATAGCATAGTTAAGTCTTCATTGCATAAGCAATTTTGTCAGTATTTAAACTTTTGTTATTTTTTTGTGTTTGCATACACATTCAGATGATGTTCTGTAGTGTTAGTATTGATGCTTCAGTAAAGAGTTCTGACAGTAGATTTCTGCCTCAGTTACTGGTTATTTCTTGTCCCACCAGGTCCTGCTGCCCTTCTCAGTCCCAAATAAACACACAAAGACTTATATTAATTATAAAACTATTGGTCAATGGCTAGGGCTTCTTATTGGCTAGCTCTGTCTTAATTCTTAACCAATAACTACTAATCTATGTTATGTATTTCTACATGGCCTTATATTACTGGAGAATGCCTCTCTTGTCCTATCCTCCTGGTCTCCACATGGCTTCTCTCATGTCTTCCCTCTGTCTACCTTTCCCAGAATTCTCCTCCTCTCCTGTTCCCACCTATCTTCCTGCCTCTATTGGCCAAACAGTGTTGTGAATCGTAATGTAAAGTATCTGATATGCAGGACATTATATGCAATCACCAAAGGGGCTGTGACCTGTGGCTGAGAGCTGCTGACGTAGCGGCAGGCAGCCTCCGGAGTTGTCAACCTGTCCATTGGGCCAGTGTCAGCTCCTCAATATCATCATTAAACCAGTGTCCCAGAGCACATACTCTTCATGTCCCTATAATATTTCTTGTGGAAAATTTCCCAGTTCTCTGCATGAAGTTTAGGTGAAAAAAATTTTTTATTAAAAATATAGCATTGAAGCCGGGCGTTGGTGGCGCACACCTTTAATCCCAGCACTCGGGAGGCAGAGGCAGAGGCAGGCGGATCTCTGTGAGTTCGAGACCAGCCTGGACAACTAAGTGAGTTCCAGGACAGCCTCCAAAGCCACAGAGAAACCCTGTCTCGAAAAACCAAAAAAAAAAAAAAAAAAAAACAGCATTGAACACTGTAACCCAGAATGTCTTTATGAACTTTTGGTCCCTAGTAGTATGCTGATCTCACATTCCTGGTTTTGACATAATTAAAGGTTTATTTATATAAAAGTTCGAAGGAATTCTTTTGCCAGAAGGCATTCCCCAGCTATAATTAGATGATACCAAAATGCCACACCTCCAAATCTTAATATAGTCTGTCTGCTAAGCTTATACAGTGCCCATATTGACTGTAAACATCTTAATTACTTAATCAGATCCTGATTTTGATGATTTAGATTGCATATGTTTACAATCACATGACTCGTGACAGCGGAAGGGGACTGGTTGGAAAGAAGAGGGTCATTGGGAGTAGGGAGGGCTAGGAGGGACTATCGGAGGCAAATATACAAATACATTATGTGCCTGGGTGAAACCCATTATTGTGCATAATATTGCCAATTAAAACTGAAACAATGACTCAGGAAGTAATTTACTTTTATATTTACATTGAGAAATAATTGATTTGGTAGCTAATTCCTTAAATTTT